TTAATTAGCGATAAAATTTATCCCCTACTTTGAATATATAAATATAATTGACCCCCCCCCCCTTTTCCAGTTACAGAAGAAGAAAAAAACTCGAACTTACCTTCATCTTGACCAGCCCTCCCTTTTTTTCTCAGGTAAAAAATGATAGGTCCCTTAAAAAACTTGTTGAAGAATATTTTGTTTAATTAGTTTAAATAAATTATTATAACAGTATAATAGTTTTATATTGTATTAGTATTTTTATTATGGAGTTTATGTCATATATATTGTTTTCTGTTTGGTATTAGATTATTATTAAGATCCATTTTGTTACATCTGGTGATCAATTTATTTGGTAATCGCCAATGGCAGTCAGCAGAGTTTAAGAACATTCGTTGTTCGACCTGTTAGTCAAATACGTTTTCTTAAAATATACTTTTTCACTTTTTTGGTCTTTTCGAAAATTTTGTTTGTGATTTATTTAGACCCCTCTACCAAGAAATTTGTTTTTCATGCACACTTATAAAAATTGCGGTTTTTATCCAACGCAATCATAGGCTTGAACGTTGTTTTCAATTTAGACTTGTTTATATAATATATATAATATATATCTTTAATGTTTCTATTTCGACTTAGTACATCGTAACTGTTAAGACTATTATCGTACCATCCTAAGACACCCCTGGGGCCGTGTCATCGAAAGTGTCATAAGATTTGTCTTAAGATATATCTTAGGACAAATTATAGGACTGTCTTATGATATTCTCAGACTGTATATCGAAAGTATCATAAGATAATCTTAACGAAGATGTCATATCGTAGTCCTAAGTGCTGTTTAGATTTTTTAGTTCAAAGGGGAATCTCGTGTAATCTTGGTATAAAAACTCAGGACATAAATTATCTATTTTGTATTGCTGTACTGTAACCCTACAGAATGAGTAAGAAAAGAAGTCCGAATTTAACAGACACAGACACATCACAGTGCATGATGGCGACAGCCATGTTTGTTTATATGCTAGGACATCATAAAATTATCCTAAAAGTTAAAATTGTCATGGATCTACAATCTGTCGATACCTGTATCTTGGCATTGCTCATGGTCATGTTTTTCTCTGACTGTTTATGACGTCTTTACACTAAATCCATTGGATGTGTACTGATTGATAATTTAGTCTTAGATGCATGATTTTTTTATTAGTTGTTAGTAGCTGCGAGTACTCTCAGATCAGTCTTTACTGTCTTTTTGTTGTTGGGATATACAAGTACCCTGCCACGTCCACTCTGTGTTTTTAAAAGAAGTTGTGGTATGATTGCCAATGAGACAACTCTCCACAAGAGACCAAATGACACAGAAATTAACAACTATAGGTCACCGTACTGCCTTCAACAATGAGCAAAGCCCATACCACATAGTCAGCTATAAAAGGCCCCGAAATGACAAATGTAAAACATTTCAAACGAGAAAACTAACGGCCTAATTTATGTACAAAAAAATGAACGAAAAACACGTTATGTAACACATCAACAAACAACAACCACTGATCACAGGCTCCTGACTTTGGTCAGGCACATACATACAGAATGTGGCGGGGTAAAACATGTTAGCGGGATCCAAACCCTCCCCCTAACCTGGGACAGTGATGTAACAGTACAACATAAGAACGCACTATAAAAATAAGTTGAAAAAGGCTTAACTTATCAGATGGATACAAACAGAAATACTATCCTAAGACAGCTTGTTAATGTAGTAGTCCTTAAGTTGGGATCAAAATTAGAACATATCCTAAGATAAGATCTTTTCGAAACACGGCTAAGAGCAAAATTCTCCTAAGATTATCTTAGGACATACCTTAGTCCTAAGACACCTTCGATGACACGGTCCCTGTCTATATATCCTAACTTTAGGACCAAGTTTATGATCTTATTTACGGAGACTTCTGTTAATCTGACTTAGGACTAAGACGTGTCCTAAGACCATCCTAAGACACGGTCTACTCCACGGACAAATTCATTGACACGGTCCCAGGTAAATATATAGTATCAAAATAGTTTTATCTAAAAGAGACTTTAGATAGTAACTTTAACAGTTTTTTGATTGCATAATAAAACATATTCCTCCTAAATCAGTCATCGTAACATCAGTCAAAGCACTATACACAGATACTTTCTTAATAATAAGAGACTTTTCACTCTAACTTTAAAACTCAGTGATAGAGATCATAAAACCCAAAAGAAAGCACTGTAGTATATATACTAGAGTAAAACCAAAACTACCGTTGTTCTGAATTAAGGCTTGTAAGCAATGGATGACTTTGTACTCATGTACACTGGATGACTTATATGTGTGGTCATTAAAAATTACGGACTTATCTCATTTATATAAAAATAAGAGGATGTGGTATGATTGCAAATGAGACAACTATATATCCACCCGCAAAGTTCAAATGAAGTGGATATACATGTGAGCACTATGTAGTTTCAAACCTACGTACGTGACCTACAGTTTTATATGAGTATGAAATTAATTAGTTACCTAGGGAAATACTCTTACAACAAAAATCTTATTCACGATGAAGCAATGAAATATCTAAATTTTTTCATATATGTTACCTGTAAAATGGTGCAAATGTGGTTTTTATTTTTTGGCGCAAATGAAATATAAACTAGTGGCGCGAAAGAAAGTTTGAATTTTGTAAAAATTGGCGCAAAATGCAGTGCGCCCGATTCAATACGACTTTAATCTTGCTCGTGATAATATATTGAAATAAACTGCTTCGCTGAGCACAGCTGGATACGCCCGCAGAGGTCCAACCCTGAACAGTTTGGGCAAAAATGGACACAATATTCAAGCTTGATACAGGTCTGAATTTGGGTTGTAATTAAATATTTGATATATTATAGGTTTCTGAATAAATGTAGTCAGAGAACTTGAAATTGGTTACATGAAAGATTTCTTGCTGTTGTGCAATACACATTGCTGTAGCGTAATACGTAGTAAATCTGTTGTCAGACTATAAACAAATAAAATCTTATAACTCGGAAGCATAAAATAGAAAATTTATAAAAATCAAAAGGAAGCTTACAAAAATAGATATAAACAATTTACCAAAGTTTCAATATGCTGAAAGCATTTTTGAGTTATTGTCCGAAAACTGGAAAATCCCCCTTTTTGTAATGAATAAAACCCCATAAATTGGAAACGTATAGTCTGAAATTTATAAAAATCAAAAGGGAGCTCATGTCGATAGAAATAAACAATTCACAAAAGTTTCTTGCAAATTGGTGAAATTTTTTAGAGTTATTGTCCAAAAACTGGAAAATCCCCCCTTTTTAATGAATAAAACCCCAAAACTCGGAAACGATAAATTCGAAATTTATAAAAAAAACGAAAGGGAGCTCACGTCAATAGGTATGAACAATTCACAAAAGTTTCATGCAAATTAGTGAAATTGTTTTTGAGTTATTGTCCGAAAACTGGAAAATCCTCCCTTTTTTAATGAATAAACCCCAAAACTCGGAAACGATAAATGTGAAATTTATAGAAAACGAAAGGGAGCTCACGTCGATAGAAATAAACAATTTACCAAAGCTTCATGTATATTGGTTAAAGCGTTTTTGAATTAATGTCCGACATGTTAACGACGGACGGACGGACAGACGGACAGACGGTCAACGGTACACCATAATACGTCCCGTAAACGGGCGTATAAAAAGTGAACTATAAATTGTTTTACTGCCTGTTTATTATTTTACAGATTTGAGTAGTTTGACGTTAGGATATTCGCTATTCATTTTTAAAGTAACAGTCTTTTTCGAAGACTGTTATATATTGATAGTATAAAAATAAAGAAATTAAAAAAGCAGAAAATAATGAAGGGTCCGTGTGCTTGTTTTTGAGATATAAACCATTGAAAATTTGGCGGGAAATAATTTTCTGTAGATTTTTCTTAAATTTAACCTTTTTTCTTTCAAAAACAATGAAATATAGAAAGGAGTTTAAAAGATTTTCAAATATGACAATCTAAATTATATGTAATCAAAATTGTGGAAGGAAAGGTAGGGGTGAGTAGGTAATTTTATTAATAGCACTGCATGAATAAAACCTAAGGATTCCGAATGCTTGGCGCGACGTCAAGCGTTCGAATTTCATCAAAACGTCACTTTCTGCGGGACGTCATGCGTATTATTTTCCGTAATAAGAACGATATTTTCTATAATTCACAATTTGATTTTATGAATTAATGTGGCTTAAATTACGCAAAAGGAATGTATAATAGCACTATGAGAAAAATAACAATATAAGAACCTCTCGATTTCCACATAAAAGTAATATAAAAAAATATCCCACTTTGAGCAACTTATCCGTAATTTTAAGCATGGCTTGAAATATTAACTAGTCATTCTCGTGGGGATTTATTTTCCCCTTATTTGAACTAATCACAGCATCAGATTGAATCCAATCAATTAATGACGAAGAATATATCTACATACATGTCAAAAAATTGAAATTAATTAAAGTTGTATATGAGACAATATATTTTCGCTGGAAGATTTATTTCAACAGAATATTCGTTTTATGCGGTTTTGTCACGATTTCAGTTCTTACTATGTTCGATTGCTAATTTCAACCGAACACCCACGATAACAAGCAAGTCCGACTTGATTTATTTTCAATAGACTTTCTGCCAAGTAAAGTTTTAAAACTGCATTTCAGTCTGAAGATGAAATTAAATCTCTCCAAAAAAAAGTTGAGAATATTACGCTGCATAAAACTTTGCAGTTTAACAGTGAAAAGAAGTTATTTGATAATATGAATTTACGGTAACATTTGATTTAAATATAATATACTTTCAACAAATATGATATTTCGAGAATAATGACCACCATATGACAATAATGATAGAACCAAGAGGGTTATATCCAGTGGGCAATAAACATGTTTCTTATCATCTGATTATAAGTACTATCATGGGGATGCTAATCTTAATGAAACAGTGTGTGTTATATCCTTCTGACTGACGAGGTATTTATAAGTCGCTGTTTGGTCTTTAAGACCATGGTCTTACGTCATCAACATTCGGAAGCACTCGGAATTCGAGAATCCGATGCACCCTGAAAGGACAAAATGGCTGAAAATGTTGAGGAAATCTTGTCCAAAAGAATAAAACCACCCAAGAAGCAATCTTTAGCTCATCTAAGAAAAAAAATCATCAGTCCAGGAGAGTTCCCTTACGACCTAAGTGAAAGAACCAGATCTAAATGTGCTTACTGTACGTAACATCATGTAAAAGTATGATTTATAACTACGGTAATATGAATATTGCAGAGAATAATTATGTAATTATTATTATTTATATTGTCTATTGTCTACTGTAGAATTTAACACTGTTGAATAATCTAAGGTAATTCCATGCAAAGGTATAAAGCATTAAAATTCTTTTGAGTTATTTACATGACCATATATCATTCTAGCCTCTTTACACAATGTGAATATCTCTATAATCTATTTTTTTTTTAAACTTAATAATTAATCCTGTTTGTCTTCTATAATACACCATGGTCTTATATCAATAGTTTTGTATGAGAGCAATTGGACAATTAATATCATTCTACACCATGGAATATAAATTATAATATTTAAAAGACTGTGAATCATTCCTACCCCTATAATACACCATGGTCTTGTATCAATAATTATCTATAAGACCATGAGTCACTATTGCCTTCTATAATACACCATGAATCATTCTAGCCCTATATAATACACCATGGTCTTATCTTTCAATAGTTATCTTTAAGACCATGAATCATTCTAGCCCTCTATAATACACCATGGTCTTATCCCTATATAGTTATCTATAAGACCATGAAACATTCTATCCCTCTATGATACACCATTGTCTTATTTCTCTATAGTTATCTTTAAGATCATGAATCATTCTAGCCCTCTACATGTATGATACACCATGGTCTTATCTCTCAATAGTTATCTATAAGACCATGAATCATTCCAGCCCTCTATAATACACCATGGTCTTATCTCTCAATAGTTATCTATAAGACCATGAATCATTCTAGCCCTCTATAATACACCATGGTCTTATCCCTCTATAGTTATCTATAAGACAATGAATCATTCTATCCCTCTATGGAGGCCTCCTCTATGATACACCATTTTCTTATCTCTCTTTAGTTATCTTTAAGATCATGAATCATTCTAGCCCTCTACATGTATGATACACCATGGTCTTATCTCTCAATAGTTATCTATAAGACCATGAATCATTTTAGCCCTCTATAATACACCATGGTCTTATCTCTCAATAGGTATCTTTTAAGACCATGAATCATTCTAGCCCTATATAATACACCATGGTCTTATCTTTCAATAGTTATCTATAAGACCATGAATCATTCTAGCCCTCTATAATACACCATGGTCTTATCCCTCTATAGTTATCTATAAGACCATGAATCATTCTATCCCTCTATGATACACCATTGTCTTATCTCTCTATAGTTATCTTTAAGATCATGAATCATTCTAGCCCTCTACATGTATGATACACCATGGTCTTATCTCTCAATAGGTATCTTTAAGATGATGAATCATTCTAGCCCTCTATGATATGCCATGGTCTTATCTTTCAAAAGTTATCTTTAAGACCATGAATCATTCTATCCCTCTATGATATGCCATGGTCTTGTCCCTCTATAGTTATCTATAAGACCATGAATCATTCTATCCCTCTAAGGTACACCATGGTCTTAGCTTTCAATAGTTATCTATAAGACCATGAATCATTTTAGCCCTCTATGATACACCATGGCCTTACTGTATCTCTCAATATCTATTTTTAAGACCATGAACCATTCTAGCCCTCTATGATACACCATGGTCTTATCTCTCAATAGTTATTTTTAAGACCATGAATCATTCTAGCCCTATATTATACATTTGTACACCATGGTCTTATATCTCAATAGTTATCTTTAAGACAATGCATCATTCTAATTTCTAGCCCTATATAATAAACCATTGTTTTTATCTCTCAATAGTTATTTTTAAGACCATGAATCATTCTAGCCCTCTATGATACACCATGGTCTTATCCCTCTATAGTTATCTATAAGACCATGAATCATTCTATCCCTCTATGATACACCATGGTCTTATCTCTCAATAGTTATCTTTAAGACCATGAATCATTCTAGCCCTCTATGATACACCATGGTCTTATCTCTCAATAGTTATCTTTAAGACCATGAATCATTCTAGCCCTATATAATACACCATGGTCTTATCTTTGAATAGTTATCTTTAAGACCATGAATCATTCTAGCCCTACATAATACACCATGCCGACCATGGTCTTTCTCTCAATAGTTATCTTTAAGACCATGAATCATTCTAGCCCTACATAATACACCATGGTCTTATCTCTCAATAGTTATCTTTAAGACCATGAATCTTTCTAGCCCTACATAATACACCATGGTCTTATCTCTCAATAGTTATCTTTAAGACCATGAATCATTCTAGCCGTATATAATACACCATGGTTTTATCTCTCAATAGTTATCTATAAGACCATGAACCATTCTAGCCCTAAATAATACACCATGGTCTTATCTTTCTATTATATGTATAAGACCATGCATTCATTCTAGCCCTATACAATACACCATGGTCTTATCTTTCTATTATATGTATAAGACCATGCATTCATTCTAGCCCTATACAATACACCATGGTCTTATCTCTCAATAATTATCTATAAGACCATGAATCATTCTAGCCTTGTATAAACACCATTGTCTTATCTCTCTATAGTTATCTTTAAGACCATGAATCATTCTAGCCCTCTATGATATACCATTGTCTTATATCTCAAGTTATTTTTAAGACCATGAATCATTCTAGCCCTCTATGATACACCATGGTCTTATCCCTCAATAGTTATCTATAAGACCATGAATCATTCTAGCCCTCTATGATACACCATTGTTTTATCTCTCAATAGTTATTTTTAAGACCATGAATCATTCTAGTCTCTATAATACACCATGGTCTTATCCCTCAATAGTTATCTATAAGACCATGAATCATTCTAGCCCTCAATAATACACCATTGTCTTATCTCTCAATAGGTATCTATAAGACCATGAATCATTCTAGCCCTCTATAATACACCATGGTTTTATCACTCAATAGTTATCCATAAGACCATGAATCATTCTAGCCTTCAATAATACACCATGGTCTTATCACTGAATTAATTTCCATGAATACTGAATTCATTTCAGCCTCTCATATCATATTATTTTTAATCCATTATTTCCAATCAAATGTTTTATTACAGCTGTCAACAAGGCAACAGAGGAAACTGCATCTCCACCTGGAACGACAGTATTATCAGAACCATCAATATCACAGTCAATCATCATGCCTCCACTGATGCCTGAAAACTTGACAAACAATACCAATCCAGTCAATTTACATGTTCCTGATGAAGATTCCACCAGCACTTCCTGTCAACTTTCTGAAAGTATACCTAATGAAATAGTTGCACCTGAAAGGGTAATTATATTTGATAATTGAGGAACACACTTGAGTTTAAATGACCATTAATTCCTGCCAACATGAAGTATTTGGTTTTTGATACATTTAAAGCATGGAAAACAAAGTCCCATTACAGAATACAAAATTGTTGATGATGTTACAAAGAATTAGAACAAACTTGTGAAACTGCCTGTCGTATAGATATATCACTGTTTTACCAATGGACATTTAAGTGTTGTGTACACCCCATATTAGGATATATGAAGAAATGCAGGTGTAAGGGTATTTGTACATTTCAATTTGAATACAGGATATGTATATTTTCTTAATGAAGAATGAACACATTGGGTAAAAAATAGTTTATTATTTTTTTTTAATTCTTGTTGTTGAGGAAGTGCATTTTCAAGGCCTCTTTCTGGGAATTATTTAGCCAGTTATTATTAATGGCATGTAAAAAATATATTATACTTGTTAGACGATTTCCTTTTCCATTCTTGTCAAAATCATTAAATTGCAAAATATTTATATAAAAAAATCTGATAGTGTCTAAAATTGAAATACAAATATCAATATAAATATTTGCATCAATATAAGAAATTCTTTTTGGACAATAACATAAAATTTTACAAAAAAAAGTATGGTAAATAAGAATATCAGACTAGCTATGAATATGGCTCGATCACAACATTGATGATGCTTTGATTTTAAGTGATGTTTTTTTTCTACCTTTTGTGTATTTCATGTATGTGATTTTTTATTTCAGGATATCCAGAGTGAATTTTTTCTGAATGAAGACCAACTTTATCTAAATATGCTTTGCAAAGGAGGTAATGATACATTTTTCTTAATTTATCAAATTAATAATACTTGTATTATTTGTCTGCTCAACTGAGTGACATCTACCTTTTTGTAAGATCCAGAATATTGAAAAGGATACAAATACAGTTGTATACATACTTTAGCTGACAGTTGCCAAAAAAATTAAAGGAACTGCTACTAGTAGTTCTTAAGTGAGTGGTCAATATAATTTTGCATGATCAGATTTAATGATAATTAGTTATGAGAAGATTTTGAAGGAAATGGAAGGAACAATAGTCAGCATTTCATGTCATATTTTCTTGTATGTTCAATCATCATCCAATCGCTATCAGAGTGTCAGCAAAGTTGGTTATGATGGAGGTAAATCAAGCAAATCAGATAAGGCCTGAATCATCAGGATTAATGAATCCTTTAAAAAAAATTGCATTTTTATTTGGCAGCAGAAGTTAATGTTCTGAGAATTTTTCTTTAATTTATCTTTTTAATTTTAGGTACACAGACAGTGTCCATTTCTGATGGTTTAGGTTTGTTCATGGTCCTACCTGATTTGGATTTTACTAAAGCACAGTTGAAGGTTTGTATTAATGTATTTGGACCAAAATCTTGTCATAGGTATCCAAAATTTTTAGAAAATTATGGCAAACATCTGAAATACTGATCACTATTCTTATAGACCCCATTGACAATTATTTTAGATTTTTTTTTAAATTTTAATTTTCCTATACACGATTCCTTACGTTGTGCACTTGTGCATGTCAATTGGGAACTGACCCAATTATTTTTTATCATGACCAGTCCACTGATACTGACATTATCAGCAAGTATATGTGAAAGGAAAAATGCACAAGTTACCAATAAACATAATCTAAATGTCCTCGATACAAGAATGATTTTATTTTGGCATTTGTCAATGTTAGCTTCATCAAATTGATTGTTTGCATTTTTTTCAGAGAGATTGTTATGTTTTATTACAACGCAAGGCTGTGTATTTTCAAGAGGCAGGTGCAAAGTGGCTGTGTACCTGCAGTTGTCAACCAATTTGGTCAAAGGAAATAATGTCATCATCAAGCTGGATGTGTTCCTCTTTTGAAGGTATAATTGATATATTCACTTAAAACTTTACCAAAAACTTGTTAAGTTTGCACTTGAAAGCCATTATTTATTGAAGAAAAAAAGACTAAATTAAGCATTTTTTTGTTTGTTTTGACATCACATTGTTTACTTGCTGAAGACAATGCTACAGTTATGCTGACTTTTTCATTTATGTCATTTTACGTCAAAATATTTGTTAAAAGGTATTTATTTAAATATGCTGGGTGGGTCTTTGTCTTTTCTGTATCTCAAGCTTTCAAACCAGGAAATGTCTGTCAATACTTTTTATGATGTGAATACTAGCTTTTCAAAGAATAAATGTCCAAATTTTGGCTATTATTGAGATTGTATTCTCACTTTTTTTCAGACTTTATGACTCTGTACCCACCATGCTTACACAGACGTGTTTGTTCATTTATCTATGAACAGTATGATAATTTGCACCAGTGCAGCCCTGCAGATTACTTTGCTGACCAATTTGAAGGTGATTTAGACATTGTCAGAGCACCTCTTTACTTTTCTACAATATGAACAAATTATTATAAGTCGACACATATCCACATTTTCTTTATTTTACTGCTAAAGATCATGTCTTTATCACATACCTTTAATATGGTTATACCATTTGTGAAATACATTAATATATGACTAATAGAAGTAGATTTCTATTTGATTAATAAACCTGATGGAAGATCATTGAAGATTATGTTATGTAAGCATATTGTCTTTGAACTTTTTTGGTCAAGTATTTTGTCCCTATGTACTAATTTGTTTTCTTATTAAATTAAATAAATTTCAAATTGCAGTTAATGAAATACAGCACAGATAATGTGTATTATTTTTTATGTGCTTTTAGAAACAGAACATGGTTACACAGCTAGCAGTGTAGATGTGAGTATGGATTATTTCTTGTATTGATTACATTACACCCAAGAAAAAAACTTTTTTTTTATCAATTGGCAGGAAGACTTTCTGGAAACTAGACATTTTATTATTAGAATCAATTTGACAACTATGTATATGGGCTAGTGACTAACCAACAACTGTTTGAAAACATTCCAATGGACATACATAATTTTGATCATTTGTTACTATAATAGTACTTAAGGTTTGTTATTGATTTAGATTAAAGAGTTGTTTGAACATTAAACTGGTTCATCCATGTCTTAATCTTCAGGTGTCTGTCGCCTTGTTGTTGACTTTGAAGTGACCTCTTGGTATAATTTCATTGAATGTTGTAGTTGGTTTTGTTTTCAACACCATTTCTTCTATTTGTCTCTTTTTTTCATATAGAGGAAGAAGAAAAAAATCGTTGAGTATATTATCATTGCGTAATGGAAACTTATCATTTCTTCTGCACAGTGTTTCATTTAAAAAAGTATTAAGCTTACAGTAATTTACCTCAAGGCAGAAACGAATTGAAGATTACACATACAACAATTGACAGTGTTCAGCCTACAGTAATTTTGCTCAGATCAGATTACAGATATTCTCAAATTTTCAAATGTTCAACTATTGTCATATCCAAATGATGTCATAACCTGTGTCAAAAATGTATGTCAAACCTTACATTGGTTCCCATTAATCAATATAAACCATTTCATTTCAATGCCCCATAGAACCTTTTAAAATGTCAGTTAATTTTTGTAGGCAGAAGAGGCAACACGAATTGAATCTGTTCCAGTTGTAAGAATTTGGAGTTCTTCTTCAAAAACACATGGGCTAGTTACTGTGTTGAGGAGGAAATATTACTGCTTTTGCTGTAAAAAAAATTACTGTGACCATGTGAAAAAATTTAAACATTTATCTTCTAACAATATTGATGATGATAATTATCCACCAGTTCTACAAGAATTAACAGATATTTATAATTCTGAAAACGAGACACTTCCAAATTCTACCAGCACAAAGATCATTTGCCACTCTTACGAGAAAATACCATTTGGTCCCACTGAGGCACTTACCAGAGTATTTTCTCCTCCACCTACAAGAGTATTTTCCTCCGGAATAATGCAGAATGTTCAGAGACATGACGATACCTTAGTCTTCATTCCAAGCAATACAATATGCAAACATTGCTCTGGTAGATTGGACTCTGATGATCCCATTAAGAACAAATGGATAGCTGGTAGCAATGTGACTGTTGTTACTAAAGCTTTTCTTGGAAATGGAATAGGTATTTAAATTATTTGGTAATCAGCTTTAGTTTTTAGTATATTGTAATAACATTGTCACTAAATTTTGTCACTGTATTAGTAGATATTTATAACATTTTTTCAGTAACAAGCAGGTACAGTTGATCAATAAATGAAAATAAATTTTAAGTATCTGAATGATTATCTTGAATGACTTTGCAAAGAGTGTTCTTATGGTAGCGCTTCACTTTCAGATAAATCTTATTTGTTTAGGATTTATCAGATTGCTAAAGGTTTTGATATGTATAATAATAATAATAATAATACATGTAAATACTTTATTTAAAGAGCGTAAAATCAGTTAGTACAATACTAATCTCCTCTGATGCCCTCTGAATAACTCCAAATATAACAATAATATAATATATACATAAACATACATACATACAACTTTTTATGCAAAACAAATGGCTAAAAACATACAGATTCGTATCATGAACATATTTTATTAATGATATACAACACAAATATACAATATAGATATATTTCATCTGATAATTAGCTTTTTTAGTTTAGAAACAAAAGTTATAATACCTTTGTTTTAACTGTTCCATCTTTTTGATTTCTACAGGAATACTGTTCCTGATCATTGAAATGCCTTTTTAATAATTTTTGATTTTGATTAAAATCATAATTTGTCCTTTGCTGGCATCTTAAGTAACCTTGTAATGGTATTGACTTTTTATTTGTTGTAGTTTATTATCGACCCTGTTTGGATTGTGACTCTGTTACACTTTTTGATGGTCAAGACCATTGCTTTTTAAACATGGGAACCTACCTAGTTGGATATGACATCCTTCGTTCTTACATGCACGGCTTTCTCCATGGAAGGTATGATTAAACAGTTTGTTTGTGTTAGACTATGCAGTTCAATATTCAGGGATTGCTGTCAGCAAAATTCAGTATTTGTGGAAGCTAAAATTTTGTGATATTCTTAATTTTCAATTTTTGGGCAAGTTTGTTTCATAACTCTTTTATTGTTATCATGGTTACTGTATGGTTTTTGGACAGCTTTAGACAATAAGATAGCTTCGGGAAAAGGACATCAACAATCAAAAGCTAAGAGACAAACAATGTATTGAGTAACATATTAATTATTTTTAATATTTTATCTTTTGTAGACGCCCTCTGTATACCTTCTACTCTGTATTCGTGGATGACCACTATGACTATGGGAATGAAAAGATTCTGGAATTATTTTCATACCACAAACTTCGGAGTGCTTGGCTGTCTTTTTTGAAATTACTCGACATTGATTTTGAGAATGGTTTTTCATGTCCAGATTGCCCACAAGATGGTCCTGACATAATCATATGTGATGGAACATCCTTGTCATTCCAACGTCGCATGTGGTCTTGGAAGAATACAGAAGTGCCAAAAAAAACCTCATCAAAAAAGAAGTCAGGGTAGGTTTAGAAGGATAAAAAGTCAACATCAATCCGTTTATATCAGAACTTTAATAATGAATTTATTTACTTATGTAATATTTGAACAGAATAAACAAGTGCAGTTCATTGTCTATTTAAAAGTCTTTGTGGAACACAAATTTTATACTATTGCTTAAAACAATACTTCTCATATAGGATTAAGAACTGATCTCTTCTTTATTGGATGTAAGTGACATTTTATGTATTTTAATTAATGTCACAAAAAAACTTAGCATATATGGAATAACTATGTGATACTGACATATTCATGAATTTCATGTACCTGACTTCTTTCAAAATATGAATATAAAAAGTTTTATATCATTTGATATTTGAAATATTTTCTTTAGCTGATAATTTAATTTATCGTATCATTTAGATATGACGTAGTATGTTGATAATTGATAAAAATACAATGTTATGATTAAAGTGATTTTGGCTTGACTTGTACTTTTGAAAACAATATCGTTTATAGTTTCAGAGAAAGAGTATTCATTCAGGAGGAAAAGACACGAAAACTGTTGCATAGATATGTCACAGGAGGTGATATTCATAGAGGAAAACAAACTTCTGTCTTGACCATACAAGAAAAGAATGAACTTATGCGTTATTTGCAGTCCTATCCTGCATTATATCTTTTTATTAAGTCCATTGACAATGGAACAGTGAAGTTATCTAGCAAGTTTTCCAATTTCATCACATCACTCGCTTCTAAGTCTCCAGTATGTGGATATATTCATCCCTCTGAGGAGGTTGGAAAATTGATCCAAAGCCTTGTTAAAGGTGTAGATGTCAAATGTGATTATGTCTTATGGCAGAGTCTCCACAATCACATTCCTGTTCTTTTCAAATTGCTTGACAATTCATCTGGAAATTCAGCCCCAGCAGATTTACGACCTTTGTTACACGAGTTGTGGGATCTTTCTCTACAGCCATTTGACAATTGTGACATAATTGATGACTCTTCATATCCTGTTGAGGCGGAAGAAATGTCATTCTTTCCGGCCCTATCGACTTGTCGACCACGAGGTCATTATGGTATGGACGAAAAAAAGAGTGACAATTCTTGTCACAAGAAGTACAAAGGTCATCCGTCTTTGCTTCCAGGAGTGTTTACAGTTTACTGTCCACATGGAAAACTCCATTTTCTATGAAACAAATCATCCTTCTTGCAATAAAACACATAAATATATTGTTGCAAAGATGACTATCATCTTTTAAGCTAAAGTAAGTCAAAGTAAGGTGGAATTGTTACTATCTTTGCTCTTGAATTTAGAAACAGTTGAATAAAATATTTACATAAATTGAACATAACAATTATAAATATTTTATCATGTCAAAGGAAACCAAGAAATATTTTCTTCTGGTCTTATTACGCAAAGTTTTAAACAATAGTCTGCAATCATTTCACAATAACAAATCTACAAATTCAGAGTCTACCATGCAAGACTACTTTTAAGAGTTATCAAAGTTAGATTTCCTACTTTCAATTAATTAAATTAAGTTTTGCATTCTCCTACAGCTGTTCCATTGAAAATGTAAGATACTTGGGAAAGGGCCTTTTGAAATTATAAGACTCATATAGGACATACTTTGGAATTTTAGGTGAATTTGTCAAAGCAAGAATATTGCTTTGCAGCAATCAATAATATCAATTCTTATTTTCCAATCCCTGGTACCTCAAATACTTTAATGGAACAACCCTATCATTCATAAGACACATAATCACACATTTTCATTCTGTGGTAATCTTGCTTGTATAAAAAGTATAAACATGCTGTCAGGTAAGGCATAAATGCATTATTTAAAAAAAGAAATTAAATTAATTAATCAATTAAAAAAAAGTAACATGCAGCATAACAAGGCTGGAGAAGAATAAACAAAAACAGAACAAATTCAAATGCAATGAATTCAAAACTTTCAAACAGGTCACAATGCAATTTTTCACCTTAATATCAACCATAGACTTGCAATGCTCTACAGATAAATTTGTGTACCATTCCTTGCTGGATAGACAAATAGTAAAGGAAAAAAAAGATAAAAATAATAACATATTTCAGGAACAAAAGGGAAAACATGCAAATTTAAATATTTTAGTAAGAAGGAAAAATTCCTATAGAAAAACAATGTAAACAAACAGAAAATTTTCTGAAAAATGATATGACATTGTAAAGATTAAGAATTTAAATGCTTTTACAAAAGTTGATTTTCATAAGTATTTTTTTGCAGAAGAGGTAAGAGGAGATAATCTCTAATTTAAAATAAGATTTTTTTTACTTGTACCAGTAAGGCACTTGACTGTCAGAAGTTACATTTTTTTTCTGACTTAAGCATTCATTTTCTTATTTTTGGTTTGTGTTCAATGAAATTCAGTAAAGAGTAATATCCTACTAACAAAAAAAAAGAGTAAAATCACAAAAATACTGAACTCCGAGGACAATTCAAAATGGAAAGTCCCTAATCAAATGGCAAAATCAAAAGCTCAAACACATCAAAATAATGGACAACTATCATATTCCTGACTTGGCACAGGCATTTTCTTATGTAGAAAAATTGAACCTGGTTTTATAGCTAGCTAAACCACTCCCTTGTATGACAGTTGCATCAAAATCCATTCATTGTACTAAAAATTTAGCATGATATAGCAAAAATCATACCTCTTTATCACAAATTTCCCATTCTCAATCCTGTCACACCCACAAAGGAATGGGTCCTCTTCTTTGATTTTTTGTGCATCAATTCTGGCACAGACATCATGCACCCATTGGCCACAAAGTGTGCACTCTACCATCACTGCATGTTCGTCAGGATTAGCATTTAACATGAATGCACAACAGGACATTCCCTCCAAAGCACACTCATCAAAATGGGCTCCAAATGGACCAGGCAGGCAGACTGCTGGCACAACATGCCGTAATGTTGCATACCTGCAAAATGAACCAAGTCATATGTAATAGCGACAGTACCAAAAAAAAATAACTAAGTTCAACAAAATTTAAGCCTTATTATAGTTTCAGTTCTAATTGATTCAATAAATATATCTAGACACAGAGATGAGTCTTGCTTGGTCCAAATTTGAGTTAATATTTTTTTTAATTCACGTAAAACTAGAACTGTGACTGTACTAACTAACATCATGTGAAAGTTTCAACCAAAAACACCGTTGACATAGGACAGTAGAACTAATATACACAGCCATGCTGCGTGGAAAGCAACATTTTTAACGATGTAATAAAGTTTTCAATAATTCAAGTATTTAAAGTGAAACTTACTATAAAGGGGGCTTGCGGGTGTAAATTAATTTTTGTTTTAAATATAGGATTTTGCTTTTTTTTTTTCTATAAATGAACTTTATCATATACTTAATAGAAAAATAAAATAAACAATGGGGTCACTGTTCATTTAAGCTCACAATCTGCCTTCGAAAGAAGCATGCATTTTTATTAACTTAAGGTACTTTTTTTCTGTTGAACTAATAGGAGTAATAGACGCAATATCGAAATAAAAAAAAACTAAATTACAGAAATCGCTTAAATTTTACAATTTTTTAGTTAAATACAGGTAATTTGAAAAATATAATAAAAAATAAAGGTCACCGATGAGGTAAAGAAGATATTTCAATTTTAATGCCAAAAAATGGCATTTTTGCACCAAAGGGAGAAAATTTGTAGCTTTTTCAATAATATAAACATTTTGAACGTCATCTGTGGTCAAAACAAATCGATTTTTTCGGTTGATTTTTGTACCATATCATAATGTAACAACTAATAGTGTAATAAATAAAATTTGTAAAAAAAATTTATTTTTTTTAATTTTGCTAAAATTTTTGTACACTCGAGCCTCCTTAAGACAAACTCTTAGTTGTCATATATCTTATTACAAACATTTCTATTTTAAGATGTAAAAAAAATAACTAACACACTAGGCTTGGTAGGCACCCAGACAACATGTATGGCAGATGTGTTCAGTGTCTTTAGAAATGATGGGAAAATATGCTGCATAAACGGGACTCTGGAGTTCTTTTTTTAATAATGGCTCACGACAGCTCTTTGTAGTAGATTTGACAGGATGTGCATGTGGAACAATGCTGAAAACAAAACCTCAATCTCAACAAATCATATGCAAATTATTTAAATTTATTCACAATTCATTCATTTTCTACAAACTAAAGTAAAAAATATAAAAAAAATTATAAATTACAGACAGTTTTTGCTTTGCTTTGCTCTACATATATTTGGGTAAATTATGGACAGCTGCCTATCCTTAATATTCTATATATTCTTTTAAATATTATTCCTAAATATTCATTACTTTATCTACTACATCATTTATATTAGGAGTGATTAAGGGAAGTAGGTAACAGTAACCATCGCTTTATACTTGTACAATGACATTTATTTACAAGATATAACCATGCTAGTTTGGAGTTAACATCATTCTGAGTTAGAAATGGTGAGTCTTTCTTGTCGGTATGTTTGTTAATTCTAAATAACTTGTGATATCTGTTGGTTAGGATGATAGTAAATTAAGGACAAATATCCCCTAAAATGTTAATTTCTAGTGGATTTGAACAACAGTATATCTTCTATTACCAGAACAGAAAAAGATCCTTTTTTTGTGCATTAAAATTTAAATGGGTTTTTTGTTTGTCAAGTCTGAAAAAAGTCATTAGGAATATAATTATCTTACTACAATCTCTAAATGGCATCCTTGCTGTCAGAAGGAGCTCCTGCATGCAAAAATACTCTATCCTTTCCCCATCTGATAAGTTTTCTGGTACAGTGTATTCTGTACCAGACAACGAACTTATCAAATAGGTGACATCATTTCCAAATTCTTCTACCATCTGAAATAAGAGTTATATATACATAACATCCTTGAAAAATCCACAAAAAATCAAAAACAAATAAAAGATAATTATGTGCCGCTTTTTAATACAACCCAAACTCTTTATGTACCACTACTTTTATATTACTATTATTTGATTGCTGGGGTTCAACACAAACCTTTATGCAACTAAATGCTTATCGAAAACTCCAATCTTACGCAAGTAACTGGCAAACCTAATCACATAAAACTGTTTTAAGTTAACATACAAAGCTATGATTTGAATTAGTTAAGGTATAAAACTAACGACCATAACCACTTCACCACCGCAGCCCAAAAAGTATAAATATCACACTATACTTTAGTGGTAGGCATTGTGTTCATGTCAACACACTATATCTGTTCTTTTTCATATTTCATAAAATAAAGGAAAATGTGGTCATAATGTCAATGAGACAACCCAAATTTTTTTAATCACTATGTTGAAACTGGTCATAAACCTGTTAGTACTATGGACAATATACTAACAGCAGCTTCAATGTGTTAAAGCACAATTGATTCATACTACACAATAGTCTGCTAAAACATTTCAAAATTATACTCACATATTTAGAATACTGCAAAATGTTGTCAGCAACTGTGACAACAGAGGCCAAACGAAGAAAAAAAGCCTCATCTTCATTCCCATACAAGGCTATAGAAAAAGCATTATAAATGCAATTTCCATCTGATGATGCGGAAATAACCGTTCTTTTTCCGATTGAATCTGGAATGAAATCCTTATATCTGGAAGAAAAAAACAGAATTATGAAGATAAGAGACTTCAAAGAGAATTTTTTAAAAGAAATATAAAGAACTGGAGCAGTTGCTTTATCTCATCAATAGTCAGGTAGTTTTTTTCTATTAGCTCTATTTTTCAACCAAACATTAACCCAAATCTTTAATGCCTTATATGTAAGATATTAAATTTTTGAAATGGACCTTAATTAATACCCCAAATGCATACACTGAATAAGTATCATGTCTCTGTGATTGTGTTAACATTAGTACACCTTTTATATCACTAAGCTGCAGTACTAGACAATGTAGATATATACTGTAGATTCATTTATTTTCCTGGGTACCAATTTTCGTGGATTAAGGAAATCTTGCATACAAGCCTACAGAAATGTGTCATTGGTTGAACATTTAATTTCGTAGTTCACTAGTACCCATGAAATCCATTAAAATTTTTATCCAATAAATATTAATGAATCCACAGTATATCAAATTCAGTAATCTGATTTCATGTATTTAATAAACTCAATTTTTGGTATTAACATTTGTTATGTATTGGTAGAAATTCATTGACAGTTATAACACCTAAGAATATTTATGTACTAGTGGTTGAGTGAAGGCCCCCTTCCAGCACCCACATACATCCTTTGCTATTATGAATAAAAAAAACAAATTCAGGGATATAAAATACATTGAAGGTGCTAAAATACATTATAGAATTAACATTACAATTAAACCATCCATAGAGAAGATGCAGATTAGACAACAGACAGTAATCCTTATCCCTATTAGTTGATGATGATGTAATACCTTCCAGGTTCAATGCAACACAATAATACCTTTTATTGGTACTTATTAGAGTTGGCCTTTCCCATTTCTTGGCCAGAGAAATTGGAAAAGCTGGAATGAATGCCTTCAACTCTTCTGACAAAGCTACCAATTCATTCCAGTTTCCAGCACCTAAAATTTTCAGTAAGGCAATACTGTTTTCCTTTTTCATGGGTTCCTGGAAAGACAAGTATGATTTTATTTATCATTTACATTTTTTAAGTTTTGTAAACACTATTGTACAATTTAAAAAACATTTGAATTATGGACCTAAAAAGGGTAAATCAAACAACAGACAAACAACAGTAAATTGATATATGAACCTTTCACATTTCTATAGCTAGTCAGGCCATTAAAATATATCATCAAAATTGCAGGATAAATATACTTTATATATTTTATAGTATACCTATGAGGTAGTATTTTTCAGTAAATCTTATCAGTGAGACTTAATATCAAAATTTGTCCAAAAAAAAAGTAAAAAGAAAAAATAAAATATTATTTTTATTCCTACATTTTAATGTTGAGTTATAGTTATGATACTTCAAGATATCTATACAAATATCTCATTTACAGGATAAACTGGATATCATTGAGATGGGAGCTATCTCTGTGGGCCCCGCTGTGCATAATGTGTGGTAAAAAGTTTGTATCTTTATCATTGGACATGGGGTTGTCAACTGAAACCGAAGTTTATGACCTTGACCTTTGAACTAGGAAGTTGTACATAAATTATGACACACCCTCCGGTGTTGGTTTATATACATGTCAAGTATAAACTTTGAAATCATAACGGTTCTCAAGATATAGAGCGGACACGATCTTTACCCTTAAGGACGTGGGGTTGTCAACTAAAACCAAAGTTTTTGAGCTTGACCTTTGACCTAGGAAGTTGAACATACATTATGACACACCCTCTGGTGTTGGTTAATATACATGTCAAGTATAAACGTTGAAATCATAACTGTTCTCTAGATATAGAGCGGACACAATTTGTTAAGGACGGACGGACAGACTGATCACTATAAGGCATCCATCATTCAGCGGGGCCTTAATGATGTTTCAGCTCTGTGAATCTCTCTCTTGCACCTTGCAAATGTGATCTTCAATTTTTTGTAAAAATGTTGAGCAGAAAAAGACCCTAAATGCCACTTATCCTTCACATAGATATTTTGCTCATGTTTCATTATGCATAAATTAGAACAAAATGAGATATTATAAAACAGAATGCATTACCTTTGATAATGATATAAGCTGCTCTCTTCGCTGTCTAAGAGAATGAGCAGTGTTAGAAGTGGCAGGAGTAGGTGTTGCAGAGGTAGAAGTGACAGGGGTAGGAGTAGCAGTGTAAGAAGTTGCAAGGTTAGAAGTAGCAGAGGTAGAAGTGTTAGAGGTAGCTGTAGCAGAGTTACAGGTGGCAGGGCCAGGCATAGAAGAGGTAGGCAGAGAAGAGGTAGAAGTGGCAGGGATAGGAGAAGCAGTGTAAGAAGTAGCAGAGGTAGAAATGTTACAGGTAGGAGTAGCAGAGTTACAGGTGGCAGGGCCAGGCATAGCAGAGGTAGGCATAGAGGAGGTAGAAGTGGCAGGGATAGGAGTAGCAGTGTAATAGGTAGCATGGGTAGGGGTAGGAGAGTTAGAAGTATCAGGGTTAGGAGTAACAGGGTTAGGAGTAGCAGAGTTAGAAGTGTTAGAGGTAGCTGTGGCAGAGCCAGGCATAGCAGAAGTAGGCATAGAAGTGGTAGAAGTGGCAGGGATAGGAGTAGCAGTGTAATAGGTAGCATGGGTAGGGGTAGGAGAGTTAGAAGTATCAGGGTTAGGAGTAACAGGGGTAGAAGTAGCAGTGTTAGAAGTGGCATGAGCAGGCATAGCAGAGGTAGAAGTGTCAGTGGTAGGAGTAGAAGAGGTAATAGTGGAAGGGGTAGTAGTAGTAGAGGAAGCAGAGGTAGAGGTAGAAGATGTTGTTGAAGACACAGATGTCAAGGTAGCCGATACATTGACAGGAACAGAACAGTCAGAGCTTGAGCTTTGTGCCTCACAATAGAACCTTGATCTGAAAAAGACAAAACTATTGAATTTTTAAAATACTGAAAATAATATTGGCAGTATGATTAACTTTAAAAAAAACATATCTTGAACAGCAAAACATTTGGGATTAATCAACATTATTAATAACTTGATCAGTTGAACTTTCCTGAACAAGCCAAGAGTGTATGGACTGTAAATTTTCACCATATTTTCTTCAGGGGATTTGAGTTTGTCAGTAATAGCATCATTATTACAGTTAAATATTGCATACATGGAATAATATATGTGCATAGCATTTTCACACCATTTAGTATATACAGAAATAAATAATATGTGGTATGAGTGCCAATGAGACAACTCTCCATCAAAGACACATTGTGTAAAAACTAAACAGTAATAGGTCAAAGTACAGGCTTCAACATGGATTCTTGGCTCACATCAATCAGCAAGCTATAAAGGACCCAAAAATGACTAGTGTAAAACAATTAAAACTGGAAAACCAATGGTTTAATCTATATAAAAACAGGAAACGAGAAACACTAATTATCCACATAAATAAACGACAAACACTAAACAGACCCCTGACTGCGAAAAAATGCAGCAGGTTTAAATGCTTTAACAGACGCCAACCTTCACTCGAATCTGACACTCATTTTTCTCTTTATTTGTTTAATAGTGAAATGATGTCACTGCAGCACTTGTTCTGGATCTTTGATAATTTAAAATTAAAATTAACCACAAACCATCCATAACTTTAGCTCTTAGTAATGGTTCAAATATCACATGTATCATAAATAAAATTTGAAAATTCAAACCTAAATTGAATGCTACTATTTGGCATTTTGATGGGTCTTGGTGGATAGACCTGGCAAAATTCCTGAAGAGACTCAATCAACTTGTATCCATCCTCAATAGTTGCCCTCTTCTGACCAGCTGAAATACATGTGCAAGCATTTTAAAACTATTCATATAATAAGAAACCATGCAGATGATAAAATACCTCTTACATCAACAGTAAGAATTATTTAGTACAAATAGTAATAAAGACACTTTAAGCTACTGCAAACTACTTATTTCCTACTGGATGCCAAAATATGAATCAACTCACCATAAGCGTAACAATTTGAACATGTAAATATTTTCTTCATAATTTAATCATTTTGAATGCTTTTAATATACATGTATTGTTTATATTGTGATACATCTGGATCCACCACTGCATGTAAACTTGACCTAACATCGAAGACATGACATGTTGACAACCCTGTTAACCTGATAAACAAACTAGATTAATATCGACAGGTGACAAGTAAAAACCAATTAAAGATCAAAGAAACAATAATAAGTACCAGCGAAAAAAAGTACAAGTACAGTATATCAAAGTCCAATGACCTTTTCATTGGGTATCATGGTAGTTGTTGCCTTAATGCCATTTCTCCTTATCTCCATCTTTCTCATAATATGATAATTCTTTACAATGAGATATTTATATACAAGCAATAACTAGAAAATCAATTAACTTCATGTTTTAAGATATTGTACCTCTTGGGTTATTTAGGGAGGCAAAAGGTACTGACGTCTCCCTCCACCATGATGGACAGTTTGCTTCTTGGTAGAAACCTCTCATACGTCCAGTACCTTTAAATAAAATAATAATAGTATTAAGCTTTTTTTCAGTTGAAAGAGGTATCAATCATTGCATTAATTTACCGTAACTTTCTTTTTTATTACCAGTCATATTTGGGATAATCGATGGGAATTTTTAGTCAGCAATGCTCTTCAACTTTATACTTGATTCTGCTTTAAAAGTGTTTTAATTAGAGCTTCACTGCTGAGTCTTATAAGGTTGAAATGTTTGTCTGCTGTGCATAATTTTAAGCCTGATATATATAATAAGTTGTATTGATCATTTATCGTGAATGTGAATAATATTTTATCAGGGTTAATTTGACTTCCCTCTAACTTATGAGAATTTATGTTTTTGTTATTGTTTATACTATACAAAATAATTAACAGTAAAAGGGCAGTGTAACCTGCCTAATCTGACACCTGGGTATTTCAACATCCTGCTTGAACCGACACAGTTTCATGGTCCCAAAATATGCAGATCCTTGCAGAAAAAACCTGAGTATTGTGACATCCTGCTTTATCCAACATTTTTTTCTGGTCCACCAGTGTGTCGAATTACACAGGTTGCACTGTTATGTTAAAGCAGTTGTGTCATAATTTACTAGTCCAGATTCCATTTGTCTTTACTTTATATATAAATATATCTTTTATCTAAAATAATGCTGATTTTTTTTTTAATATGTGCTGATCTTATGTCAAACTATGTTAAACTATAAACCTAGGGGTTTGTCAGGAGGAGACAGCACTGTTGTGATGATAGCACGAATCTCATTCATGTCCATATCAAAGCAGTGCTGGGCCAGAGAGTCCTTGAGACTGTCATGAAGCTCTGCCTGTTCTGCTGCTACCTCTTCTCTGGGTTCTATGGGGGAAAAAAAATTTATAAACTACAAATTTCAATTTGTTTATGATTATTATGATTGCTATCAGTTTTCAGATTCATGAAACATAAAATTTGTTTATTCATTCATTCATTCATTCATTCATTCATTCATTCATTATATTTTAATTGTTTACCTAACGTAAAATTTTGAAAATAAATGGTTAGTTTCCTTAATAGTAACCGGTAGGTTGCAACAAATATTTATAATTAGACATTTTCCACAAACATGAACTATGACTTCAGATATCACATCAACCTTGAAATATCATGGCTGATTACATATCTATTAAGCATAATAAAGCGAAATTTATTTATATATCAAAATTGATAATTTATAAACACAACTTAATTTGCCATTAATATACACTACCATTTTGATTGATGACAGACTGTCCTTCAATAATTTCCCGGTACTTGGTTTTTACCACATCAGTTTCCACAAAGTGGACTTTCATTTGCTGGTTACCTAATCAAAAGTATGAAAAAATAAAATGCTGACAAAAAAAAACTATTATGAATTGGTGTTAACAAGTGTTCTATTATCAATGAGTATGATCAACTTTTTTCAGGATCATATACTAATATAGCAGAGAAACATTTAAAATATCAAAGTTTGAACATAAAAAAAGTTGTCAGTTACACAGGGGTATAGGAAGTTCATGAGGTTGGTACAGCTCAGAACATACAAAAAATGGTATGTAATGCCATCATTATTATAAAAATCCAACCATTTCACTCTATTGTGAAGAAAGATTTTTCATTCAGAATTTAAAATCTCAAGAGTTATCTGTGCCAATGTATATATAGTGCATACTGTATAATATATATAATGCCATTGTTTTATGAAAAGAATTCTTACCTGCTGATCTGTAAAAATTATCCACTACAGCAAAACATATTACATGTGCCTCTGGGAAGTTTTCATTGAACTTTATTACCTGTAACAAAAATATTCTATCTAAGTGAATAAATTTGAATATACTTGTATTCATCATTACATACTGAGCAAGTTGAGTTGCACAAGATTTCTCAGACAAGGATGAAAAAACATATACATGCATTTCTATTGTGACTTTTTGCTAGGTTCACCCTGAACATCTAAAGCAAGTAAACAAGAGAGAAAAAAAAATATAGTTTTTTTTTTAAATATGACTGAGGAAATAAGGTAGTTTCAAATCCAGAATTTATATAACTCAATATCAAAAGTGCACTTGGAAGAAAACATAAGCATTTGCACAACTATTTTAGAACTGTGTGAAATGTAAACATACTCTTTTCTCCAATCGTTCCCAACTCTTTTGTATTTGCTCTGGCATATTTCTGGTGGCCTAAAATTATCTAAAAAATAAAAAATAACATTACATGTACATGTATTATAAAATTTATTGTAAAAAGATATTTATGAGGATTGATTCATGGACATGGATACTTCTAAAGAGATAAGACCATCAGGTATTAAGGTTTGGTAGAGTGATTAATGGTCTTAAAGGCAATTCAAGAGAGGTAAGATCATGAGGTATTAGGGGTTGGTAGAGTGATTCATAGTCTTCGAGAGATAAGACCATGAGATATTATGGGTTGGTAAAGTAATTCATGATCTTAAGGATAATTCTATAGAGATAAGACCATGAGGTATTAGGGGTTGGTAGAGTGTTTCATGGTCTTTAAGAGATGGTACCATGAGGTGTAATTAGGGTTTGGTAGAGTGATTCATGGTCTTAAGGATAATTCTAGAGAGATAAGACCATTAGATGTTAGGGTTTGGTAGAGTGATTCATGGTCTTAAGGATAATTCTAGAGAGATAAGACCATTAGTTGCTAGGGGTGGGTAGAGTGATTCATTGTTTTAAGGATAATTCTAGAGAGATAAGACCATCAGGTATTAAGGATTGGTGGAGTGATTCATGGTCTTAAGGATAATTCTAGAGAGATTAGACCATCAGGTATTAAGGATTGGTGGAGTGATTCATGGTCTTAATGGATAGTTCTAGAGAGATAAGACCATTAGTTGTTAGGGGTGGGTAGAGTGATTCATGGTCTTAAGGATAATTCTAGAGAGATAAGACCATTAGATGTAAGGATTTGGTAGAGTGATTCATGGTCTTAAGGATAATTCTAGAGATAAGACAATTAGTTGTTATGGGTGGGAAGAGTGATTCATTGTCTTAATGATAATTCTAGAGAGATAAGACCATCAGGTATTAAGGATTGGTGGAGTGATTCATGGTCTTATGATAATTCTAGAGAGATAAGACCATTAGTTGTTAGGGGTGGGTAGAGTGATTCATGGTCTTAATGATAATTCTAGAGAGATAAGACCATCAGGTATTAATGATTGGTGGAGTGATTCATGGTCTTAGGATAATTCATGAAAGATAAGACCATTAGTTGTTAGGGGTGGGTAGAGTGATTCATGGTCTAAAGGATAATTCTAGAGAGATAAAACCATTAGTTGTTAGGGGTGGGTAGAGTGATTCATGGTCTTAAGGATAATTCTAGAGAGATAAGACCATTAGTTGTTAGGGGTGGGTAGAGTGATTCATGGTCTTAAGGATAATTCTAGAGAGATAAGACCATTAGTTGTTAGGGGTGGGTAGAGTGATTCATGGTCTTAAGGATAATTCTAGAGAGATAAGACCATTAGTTGTTAGGGGTGGGTAGAGTGATTCATGGTCTTAAGGATAATTCTAGAGAGATAAGACCATTAGTTGTTAGGGGTGGGTAGAGTGATTCATGGTCTTAAGGATAATTCTAGAGAGATAAGACCATTAGTTGTTAGGGGTGGGTAGAGTGATTCATGGTCTTAAGGATAATTCTAGAGAGATAAGACCATTAGTTGTTAGGGGTGGGTAGAGTGATTCATGGTCTTAAGGATAATTCTAGAGAGATAAGACCATGAGGTATTGAGGATTGGTGGAGTGATTCATGGTCTTAAGGATAATTCATGAAAGATAAGACCATTAGTTGTTAGGGGTGGGTAGAGTGATTAATGGTCTTAAGGATAATTCTAGAGAGACAAGACCATTATTTGTTAGGGGTGGGTAAAGTGATAAACGGTCTTAAGGGTGGGTAGAGTGATTCATGGTCTTAAGGATAATTCTAGAGAGATAAGACCATTAGTTGTTAGGGGTGGGTAGAGTGATTCATGGTCTTAAGGATAATTCTAGAGAGATAAGACCATTAGTTGCTAGGGGTGGGTAGAGTGATTCGTGGTCTTAAGGATAATTCTAGAGAGATAAGACCATGAGGTATTGAGGATTGGTGGAGTGATTCATGGTCTTAAGGATAATTCATGAAAGATAAGACCATTAGTTGTTAGGGGTAGGTAGAGTGATTAATGGTCTTAAGGATAATTCTAGAGAGACAAGACCATTATTTGTTAGGGGTGGGTAAAGTGATTCACGGTCTTAAGGGTGGGTAGAGTGATTTATGGTCTTAAGGATAATTCTAGAGAGATAAGACCATTAGTTGTTAGGGGTGGGTAGAGTGATTCATGGTCTTAAGGATAATTCTAGAGAGATAAGACCATTAGTTGTTAGGGGTGGGTAGAGTGATTCATGGTCTTAAGGATAATTCTAGAGAGATAAGACCATTAGTTGTTAGGGGTGGGGAGAGTGATTCATGGTTTTAAGGATAATTCTAGAGAGATAAGACCATTAGTTGTTAGGGGTGGGTAGAGTGATTCATGGTCTTAAGGATAATTCTAGAGAGATAAGACCATGAGGTATTGAGGATTGGTGGAGTGATTCATGGTCTTAAGGATAATTCATGAAAGATAAGACCATTAGTTGTTAGGGGTGGGTAGAGTGATTAATGGTCTTAAGGTTAATTCTAGAGAGATAAGACCATTATTTGTTAGGGGTGGGTAGAGTGATTCACGGTCTTAAGGGTGGGTAGAGTGATTTATGGTCTTAAGGATAATTCTAGAGAGATAAGACCATTAGTTGTTATGGGTGGGTAGAGTGATTCATGGTTTTAAGGATAATTCTACAGAGATAAGACCATTAGTTGTTAAGGGTGGATAGAGCGATTCATGGTCAAGGTTAATTCTAGCGATAAGACCATTAGTTGTTAAGGGTGGGTAGAGTGATTCATGGTCTTAAGGTTAAATGTAAAAAAATATGTATCAGAGATGGGTACAGTGATTTGTGGTCTTCAGGATAATTCTAAAAAGACAAGAAAGTGAAGTGTTATGGGTAAGTAAAGAGGTTTATGGTCAAAAGAATAATTCTAGATAGATCAGAGAATTAGGTGTGGTAAAGTGGTTCTTAAATTTACCCTCTTGCTGCAAGTTGTTTTCCAAGGTTGCATTTCCTGTGTCCGAAAATATGACAGCACAATGTCTGTGATGTTACATGTCCAACAATGATGTCATTCGATATGTTACGTCACCCCATAATGACCATTACTTTTAGGACCCATTGAAGAAAAATATAACACTGTTTAATCTTTGGTCTTAATATTATCGTGAAAAGACCATGATGTGTTAAGGGTGTTTCTCGTCTCTGAAGGTAGGTGTAGAGTCCTTTTTGGGATTTTAAAATGATGCCATAATTGTAAATTGGGTGGAGAAGAGAGCCGTTGATATAATTGCCTTAAATTGGTATTCCTGTAACCTAGTAGCGCAGTTATTATAGGCTCTTTTCCCGTAGCACGGCGGATAAATTGATTTCTTTTCTAAATCACAGGGCATATACAGTTTAATTAGAAGTACTAATTACATATATATAAATTATAATATAATATCAATAATATAATTCTACAGTATAATGTTTGACGAATTATTACTTTAATACGACATGTAGCTTCAAAATCAAGCTAACATCGACTTCTTACCCTCAACAATATACAAATATATCCGACTTATTACTGCCTAGAGGGGACTACTCGGAATATATAAGATGTACTGTAAAAATATAGATCTATACTAATATTTTGTATACTAATATTTCAAAATTTAAAATTCCGGAAGTGACAATTTTATTTTCTTCAAGGAGAGCGATTACAGAAGGTGCGTGCGCATCTCTTAAGACCGTGATCTTATCGGCCTTTTCGAAAGTTATAAATACCTCGACTGACCCAAGATACAGTAATAACATGGAAGTATTATATTGAATACTTCTATGGTTATTCTTACACTACCTATAACCGAGTACGGCAGAAAGTGATTTTCCCCCGATTATAGTACTGATTTTCCTCGATTTTGTACTGATTTTTCATGATAAATTTTACACTATAGTTCTGTTATTTAATTTAAGTAGCTTGATCTAATCAATTGGTTAAAGATCATTTATTCTGTCTGGTCAGCAGTCATTAGTAAGTGATATCCTGAGGTGGGATTGCTTTGACCTTCCTTGTTCTTTGTTTTGATGCTGTTGCAGCTGATTTGAGTCAAACAAAATATGTTTTAGTCTGCTTTTAGAAAACTGGGAGTATAAATTAGATTTTTTTTCATGAAATTTTTTTCAAATATAATAATCTGAAAAATGCAAGTAGAAATTTGGACAAAATATGCATTTAAATGTCTTACGTCTTTAAAGTTGTAGAACTTCCGCGATACACTAATAATCGAGAATTATGCTGTGGCCAGTGGGGGATTATGTCATATCCATATAGGCGCGTGTTTTGTTATCACAACCAGTAAACGAGGTCATTCTGTTGCGGACTTTGGTCAAAGAAAGAGAAAGATGGAGTCCCCTAGAAATGAAAATAAGCTGAATGGAATTTCGTTTTCAAGGAAGAAGAGTCCGAAGCTTACTTATGCCGGAGAGTTCTGGTAAGATATACTTTTTAATCCATAGAAAATATGAAGAGAAAAAAATTCATTAATATTTAAAATATGATTTCTGAATATGAATATGAAAAACCGAGGTTTGCCCAAGTTCATTTAGAATACAAAAATGTTTGTCATATTTTTATGTTATGGTATATGTTAATGAATAAGAAATGGAGGTATACAGTTAATTCGGGATTGTTTTGTCTTGAGTAGCCAAACATTCCCATTTTTTTTTAACATTTCTTTATTCATCTATGTGAACACTTCGGATTTTGAGATGTTGCAGAATTCTAAGTTGCACACATATCATAATACTCATCAAGTTGTCAATACTGGCAAATATTATTCGATTGAAATTTTCATAGTTCTATTGACGAGATTTACTTTTAGTAGAGACCAAGTGTCGAGTTAAAAAAGTGAATATCGAGTTGTCAAAAGTGAGTATCGAGTAAAACAGTGAGTATCGAGTAAAAAAAGTGAGTAATTATTATTATAACTCGATACTCACTTTTTGAAGGGGAAATTTATTTTAACTTTATTCCTTTGGCATGATTCATTTTATCAAGGATGTATATTAGTATTTTAGTTATATATCCTTGGTTATATTGACCATCAACATGAATAATGACTAACTTAGTTCTTAGGGATAGTAATATGATACTGATAGGACCACTTGAAAAGTAAACATCTCAAACAAAACAGTAGTCAGAATAGTTCGCAAGAAACACCCAATTTAATACTTGGGAACTATATTCCACGAACAAGGGGAATTAATTGTGGTCTGAAGCCTATTAGACACCAAAATGTTGGTATTTCTAATGAAACTTTACATTTACTTAGCATGATATCTTAGTAGCATATTAAGTGCCAAATTTTATTACTTTCTGACCGTTATTAAAACAGTTTGGAATGTTTTATATAATTGCATATGTCTGCGGAGAATGCTATTTGCAAAGTTTGAAGACCTCAGTCAATAGATATAAGAAGATTGGGTATGAGTGCCAATGAGACAACTCTCCATCCAAGTCACAATTTGTAAAAGTAAACCATTATCTAATTTAAACTAAATGAAAGTTATGGCTGCTGGATGTTATAAAGGAAATTGGGCAACATTTATATTTGTTAGGTTATTTATTTGCCTTGATCCAGTAGCCATAACTTTTATTTAGTTTAATTGTTAAAGCTTACTGCCACTTGTGTGCCAGTTTTGTGCAAACTTATATCCCTCTAGTGCTTAAATCAGAAGTGGTCAATATGATAAGTGTACAGATATAATAAGCATTATTGTGGGTAAATTAATACTGAAAAGTTTCTTTATTTCCACTGGCTATCCTTATTGGTTATGTATACATGTACTTCAAAACAACTTAAAAGTAAATTAAGACTTGACACTTTTCAATTTTAAGATATTTTGCTCTTTATATTTTTATACGTGGTTGTACGTTATAATCTCCCAGGGTCAACTCGTTTTTGGAAAACTTATTGAAAATGCACCATAAGGTACTCTCATTCACTCTGATAATGACCTATATACCTTTATTTTTGTATGCACTGTTCTAACTAATTTTTAAGCACTGTTTAAAACTGTGTATAATTTGTATTAAAACAGATGAATCACCAAAGAAAAGAAAAACTCAAAGTTCTAATAGTGGCCTGGGTGCAGTGTATTCGAATTATCAACAGTGCTCCTCAAATAAAGAAAATAAAAGAAAAAGGTGAGGTTATAAATTTGTCAAATTTCCTTTTTATAACATTATATATATCTTTATTCTCATCACCAAATACATAGGTACAGAGAAAACATGCATGTAATACAATACATTAAATACATAAACATAAATATACAATATATACAACAACAACAAAGACAAAAAGAAATTATTCAGGAGGACACACTCGCTTGTTTAAAATTCGTATAAACTTACATAAATTTATGAGATCTGTCCTATTTGTAGACGACATAATTTCAGTAAATAATATAATATTTGGCCTTATACTAAAATTTCGATTTATAAATTTATTTCTCTCTTCTCTAAAATGTGAACAATTAATAATGTAATGGAATTCATCTCCAATATCTAGCTTACATAAATTACACTTTCTTTTTTCCCTTTCTATATTGTACCATCTTCCAAGTTCGACTGGAAGTTTATGGTTACATATTCTAAATTTACATAATGTTAAAAAATCTTTTTCGTCTAAAATATTAAAATATTCTTCAAAACACAATAAATTCTTAAAAATACGATAATTCAAGGCTTTGGAATAGTTTTGAATAGTCTCGTTCCATGTTTGTTTGAATTGATCACACAATCTTACTTTGATATTATATTTCAACCATACATCATTTAAAAAGAGCTGTGTGTTCCAGATATAAGAAAATCCACATTCATCAAATATATTTTTAACACATATTAACCATCTAAAATCTATGTTTTTAGTACAATACAGGTGGTACAGTAATTTATCACCGTTAACTATTAGGGGAATTACTTAAATGAGTGATATCTTAAAACATTTGAATGTTATGTAACTTTAGATATATACTAATGATCCAGAGACTAATCACGTTTGCTAAAATTATCAGAACCAACATCTGTGTTTAAAGGATGACCGGTCATGTCAGGTGATGACCTTGTACTGAATCTGGGATAATGACATGAAAATCACTTGTATAAATATATATAATAATTCTATTTTATTTCAAAGAATCATTTTAAAGAGGTTTCTTTTTTTCAATTTTACTCATAATAAGATATAATATAAACCTGTATGTTTAAAATTTTAGTAAAACTACAAAATACAAAATTATTTTTTTATCAAGGCTTCAGACCCCAATTAAGTTGATATTTTTTGCTATTTATAAGTGATTATTTCAAAAATTCCCCTGACTGTTTAAACTTACTATTAAAAAAAAGCCCAGAAATACAGTTTGAATATAGATATGTAAGACAAGTATCCAACAGAGACCAACTGAGGTTGATGTTAGAATCTTTATGTGTGTGTGAAGAACTTTCATATTCTTTTTAATAGGTTTCTAATTTTTATATAACTATTTTGAAAAAAAAATCAAGCCTGTAGTTCAGTAGTTGTCGTTGGTTCACAGCTGTCATATTTGTTTTTCGTAAATTGTTTTGTTATAAATTAGGCCGTTAGTTATGTCAATTGAATAGCTTTATATTTTCATGTCGGTCCTTTAATAGCCGACTATTACGGTACTATATAGCCATACAGTATGGGTTTTTCTCATTTTTGAAGGCCGTACAGTTACCTATAATTGCCTACAACCACTTCATTTGAACTTTGGTAAATAGTTGTCATATTTGCAATCATACCACATCTCCTTATTTTTTAAACAATCATAGACACACAAAAAGTAAAGAAATGCATGTTATGTTCTTCTTGTATATTTTATGATGGTATGATACTAAATTCCTAATCTTGATTTTCATATAATTGAGGTCTGGAACAGGCATGTCAGTAACTGCTAGTAGTCCTTTGTTAATTGCTGTATCATTGTCCTTTTGTTTAGTTTCTTCTGTTACCTATTCTAACATCGGACCTAGACTTCTTAAAAACTGAGTTTTTCTAAACTTTATCATCAAATATGTATCAAGGGTTTCCAGCATTTAAATTAGATTTAAAAATACCTTTCCAGAGCTTCTGGTAAAGCGATCCTTATCGATATACCAGTTTGTGGTAAATCATTTCAAGTAGTACAGTTAGAAATTTATTGTGATCCAACAATTAATATACACTTACATTGACTATATTTCCCCCCGGTGCAACGCGTTGCGGGGGACATAGAAATATTGGCGTCCGTCCTTCCGTCCCATCTACTAAGCGCTGTCACGTGTACAATTCATGCCAGATTTTTATGAGACTTATTTCATAGTTTTAAATTAGCAATTTCTTGAACGAATTTAAAAAGCCGTGCCTTTCATTTATTTTTAAAGAGTTATGCCCCTTAGAAATATTAATTATGGTGAAAATTGCCAAATGAATGCTCTAATGTGAACAATTCTTGCCAGAGTTTTGAAAATTTATACTATAGGTAAATATTAGCAATGTTTTGGACGAGTTCGAAAATCAGTGCCAATCAATTGCCCTTGGAAATATTAATCATATGGAAAATTGCATTGTTAGCGCTCTCATTTGTTCAATTCTTGCCAGAATTTTATGAAACTTATATCAAAGGTTTATACCAGCAATATGTTTAAGATATCAAGTATGAATATTACATGTATTAGGTCAATATTCTTTAAAAATAAACGTCTTTTGAAATGGCACATATGACCTCTTGAAAGAAGTAGGATCAAGAAGTCCTATATTTGGTCCTTATGTCAAATTTTTCAATATTCAATCAAAGACTTATATTCATATCTTAAAAAGGTAAATTTGAAAAGACTACATATTTTTTTTCTCGAAATTTTAGTTTAAAAAAATGAATATTTAATACATGCATTGTAGCCAGATTGCTTGTATTTATGCATTTATAGGCCTTTTTATCTGAATAATATTGGTCACATACTAAGAGTAATAAAAACTTATCAAATTATATATATGGTTCAAATTCACACTATTACAAAACATATGGTTGTCCATTCATGCTGCCAATACCTTTGTAAACACCCTGTTGAAATTAGTCAAAAATTGTTTATTCAAAATTAAGGTTTTTCTTCATAAGAGTGTATAACTTTGATGGATTGTGATGACAGTGACCGAAAAATAGTAGTTTTTAATTTGGCATTTCCTCAATTTAAAAGGAAAATTAAGAATTTAAGTAAAATATTCTGCCAAAATATAAGTCCCTTATCTTGTACCATGTCCTTTGTCTGATGCTATTCAACAAATCCGGCTAACTAACATATAGCAATAGTTAAAATCATCAACTGTTTCTGGTATTTGATGTAATTAAACTAAACTTTAAAATTAAAAAAAATATATGCTTTTATGAAATAAGGTGTTTTTACAAGTAACGTAATTAAAAAAAAAATGAAGCAACATGTACCGTTACTCTGAATAGAAATGCATTTACAAAGAATGGTATTATCCTCACTATCTAAATCATCTTTTTTTTCGGAAATAGATCATTAGAATAATTTGTTTTCTTTTTTAGATTTTACTTTCTATGAGTACCCACAGCATCTTCAAGCAGAACAATGGATATTGATCAGACCAGACAGTCTGGAGAATTTACCATGAATAGAAGTAACAAAAGTGACAGCAACACATTCGATTGGTTTAATGGATATTTTGGACAGGAGTAGCAGACTGGTACATTGATTCCAAAATCTTGAACAAACAACAACTGAACACATTCTTGTCTCTTTTAAGTGGGATAATGTTAATCTTTACAAAATGCCAGCACAATTGAAATTAATATGGGATAGTTGAAAGAAGAAATTTCAAAATGATACATATTATCACAATGTTGAATTTAGACAATCTCTATTTTTGTGAAACAGTTTTTTTTAAACTTTAAATACTGTGATGATCTACAAAACATTATTAAAAGATGAACATGTAAGTCTCAAGTGTGATCCAGTTTTTAACCGCTTTTCGCTTGAAAAAAAATCAAGCTTTTTTAAATTTATGAAGTGACAACAATTGTTTTTACTGGATTTACATTGAATAAATAATATTATACAGACATTAAAATAAAAATGTTGAAATTGATTTCACTTCATTTTATTTTCATTTTTTCGCAATGTTTTTATCAATTTTTTTTTATCCTTTCTAAGTGAGAAAATCAGAAATTCGTGATGCTTCTAGTTGTTACACACTACATTTAAAACATTGTCACATTTCATATGGTATATTCTGGCTTTCATTGTATTTTGTGTTTTTTGTATATTGGTGAAATTGCAAATTGTGTTCTTACCAATGAAACTTAACAGTTAATTGTGCTTGATTTTTTTTTTCTTAAACAATGAAAAACCCTTTTAATTAAAAATTAATATGTTAAGGTAAAGTTCATCCCAAAGGTTGCTTTTATTCATTTTCATAAAATTATAAATAATTAAAAAAAAATTGGAAAGTTTGGAACTATTTGATTTGATTACCATTGAGACAGCTTTCCACGAAAGTTCAAATGATGTAACCGTAGGCATACGACCTTCAACGACATGAGAAAAATCCATACTGTATGGTCATCTATAAAAGACCCCGACATTAAACACCAATTCAATTGAGAAGAATAACGGCCTAATTTATTACAATTTACGAAAAACAATATGACAGACATGAACCAACAACAACCACTGAACAACGGGCTCCTGACTTGGGATAGTCACATAACGGAGGTGGCAGGGTGAAACATGTTTGTGATCGCTCAACCCTCTCCTAGCTGGGACAGTGTGTGTAACAGCACACCATAAGAATAAGCATTTATTTAGTACAGTATCATTTTAAAACAACAGCTTTCAAAAATTCACTTAATGTTGATGGCAAGTATTAGTAACCAATCAATATATACAGAGATATGAATCACCTGTGTGCAATTTTGATAGATATATATTATGCAAATGTTGAAATTTAAATTACAATACTTAAATGACTACTTACCCATTTTTCATCAGTATTCTGATATATTAAAGTATAGAAATTGACCCTATGTAAAAGTTTCAAAGTCAACGAATCATGACTGGGGGAGGGAAAATAATCATTATGGAGATGAGATGTGCAAAATCTAGTACAACTGCACATCTAATGTAATAACCGTTAATGTTCAGCCTCAAACTGACCAAATCACAAACATAAACCTGTAAACTAACTATGCATTTTCGAAATCAATAGACAGTGATTGGGGAGGGATAATCGCCATGGAAATAATTTCCAGTGTCTTTTTATAATTGGTTACTAGAGTGACATCCCTAAATTATTCCCCTTCTGACTGAACTAAACAGCAATACACATTGCTATGAGTTGATGCTCTAGTGAATATAAATGTGTAAACCTAATTTTGTGACTGAATTCAGTCATTATATTTTTTTTTACTGCTGCAGAATTGGTCTTTTCAACAAATATTTCCTGAATTTGTATTGACTGAATTCAGTCATCTGTATTATAGATGTGTATACTATGTAATCACACTTGGTGTAATTTAAGTCTTAGAAAACACTCTAATTTAGTACAATTTCTTGTAGCTTCTATCAAATGCTGTGTGACTGAATTCAGTCAACATTTTGTGAAAATAATGAACAGGATAAAGAGTTAATTTCATTTAGCTGTTATCCTGTTATATGTTGCTTGTATTAATCTATAATCCGAATTCTGTTTCATCTGAATTAACAGTAATAGGTATTAGTTAAGAAGCAACAAGTACAAATGTATTTGATGGATATTTTACGAATAAAATGGTAATGTTACTTTCTATTGTACTTATTGAATTATGTGATATAAAGATGCAATCAGGTGACTGAATTCAGTCACTCAAAAAATTATCACCGTACAATGCTATTTTATTTTTTGTAAGTGGATCATATTAATGGGGTCATTAATATGAATATATTCTGTGTTAACGTTTTCATCCATTTTAAATAAAATGCGCATTGCATACAATGTTGAATGTTAAATGGTATTCTATAATGAATAATATATCTACTCAGTTCAACCCTTGAATTTTGACAAATCAGAAAATTGACAAGTTGAACCAGACGGTGTTACTAGTAATTTTTTGGGGCCCTTTATAGCTTACTGTTCGGTGTGAGCCAAGGCTCCGTGTTGAAGACCGTACTGTGACCTATAATGGTTTACTTTTATAAATTTTGACTTGGATGGAGAGTTGTCTCATTGGCACTCATACCACATCTTCTTATATCTAATTAGCTGTGTAGGAAAAGTAATGGAGAGGGTAGTCTACAAACATATTTATAACCCTCTACGTAGGAAAAAACTTATTAATTTATATCAGTCAGGATTTTTACCTAAACATTCAGCTGTACATCAACTTATTGAACTTTATAACACTATATTAAATCTCTTGAAAAAAAAAAGAATTCAGTTGCTTCGTATTCTATGATTTTTCAAAAGCATTTGATAAAGTATGGCATAATGGACTTATACATAAAATGAATTATTATGGAATAAAGGGAAATTTACTTGCATGGACTAAAAATTATCTTTTTCAAAGAAAACAAAAAGTAGTTATCAGAGATTCATCTTCGTCATTGTCCATTGTTTCTGCGGGGGTACCCCAAGGCTCTGTTCTCGGTCACCTTTTATTTTTGCTGTATATAAATGATATTGGCGAAAATTTAATTTCACTGACTAGACTTTTTGCTGATGATACGTCGCAGGGATATTCCACCACAAGCATTACAGACGTACAGGTAGTAGTTAATCATGATTTAAACAAACTCAATGATTGGTCAAAAAATTGGTTAATGTTCTTTAACCCAGATAAAACGGAAATAATGATTTGCTCAAATACTAAGATTCCAAGTGATTTAAGTTTTTCTTTCAATGGAAGATCAATATCTAACACATCAAGTCATAAACACTTAGGTGTAACTCTCTCCCAGGACGCAAAGTGGAATGAGCACGTAGAAAATATTTCCAAAAATATTATTTAGAGACTGGCTGGGAACCCCTTCATAGTAGGAGGCACAGAAGAAAACTCAAATTATTTTATAAGATGTACAATGGTCTCGTTCCACAATATTTATATGATTTAATTTCCCCAACTGTACAGTGAAAGTACAACTGTTTATCCACTGCGTAATGGCAATGACTTAATAGCCCCCTTTTGTCGACTCTCCTTAACAAATTACGCATTTATTCTCTCGTCCATCAGAGAATGGAACAAACTTGATAATTCTATCCGTACAGTTGATACCCTATCTAAGTTCAAACGCTCTTTGTAGAATAATACATACGAAGCAAAAACTGTACCTAAGCATTTTATGTATGGTCCGCGGAAATTGAGTGTAATTTTAACACAGCTGCGATGTTCAGCCTCATTTCTAAATGACGACCTATTTGAATCAAATATTATACAAAGCCCATATTGTGCTTGTGGCGCTCCGCATGAAGATTCGTTTCATTTCTTTTTTAATTGCAATAAATACATCGATATAAGGAACGATCTTTTAACCAACATTCATCGTTTTAAAGTGACAATAAATCTACAGTTGCTCACTGAGGATAGCCAAACTTTAACATACGAGGAAAACTGTGAAATCTTTAAAGACCCAGTCAACAGACTAACAGTGGCCCAACGTTGGCAAATTGTCGGTCCGTTGGTCGACCATTGGTTGTTGGCTGTACAACATTGGCCCAACGTTGGCAAATTGTCGGTCCGTTAGTCGCACGTTGGTGTTGCCTGCACAACATTGGCCCAACGTTGGCCTGCTGTTGTAAATCCATATTATTATCTCATGTTGGTTATAAATAATCGGGCCAACGTTGGCATAACGTTAGTAGCAAAATAGGGCCGATATGAAATTTTGTTAATAAAAATTGATTATGAAATATTTTACGCTTTATTTCTCTTGGGAAGACGGATGATTTCGATTGCTGCATGCTTTATGAAAAGTTAATGTTATACCGAAAGGGTTCAACAACTGAAATTACATTTACAACTCTATGTTGGGCCAATGCTGGGCCAACGTTGATCCTATATTATACTCTATATATAAGTCAGGTAAAATTTATACTGGAATATCATAACTGTAATAAAAAAAAAATATATCGTTAACATAGATTGCCTGGTTAAAAGTTTAAATTTATTGCAATCATTATTTATTATAACTTTATTCATTAAACTTTATGAAACATAATGATTTAGCAATTATATACAGAGTGATATTTGATACAGCCAGTCTGTTAATCAAGCACATTCTGATAAGGTTGACCATATGTTAGACAAATTTCAAAGATAGTTGCTATGGTAATTAAGTTTATAGGCAATCTGAATGTAATGGGATGGTCACTTTTGTGGTTATTTCCTGTTGTGTATTTGTAAGAAAGCAGTGAAACGAAGAAAACAAAAAGAGAAAATCATATTATCTGAGGTTCAAAGAAAAAGAAAGTGACATGTAAGATGTATGTGAAGTTAGCAGCCGGTTCGTTATTCGATATTCGATATTCAATATCCAACCGGCTGCTAGCAGTCGGTTGGATATTCAAAATGTAGTTGAAAATCATAAAAAAATTAAATACTTGATAACATTAAAAGCACGATTTTCATAGTTAAGAGGACTGATAAGATACGTAGGAAATCGTTTAATGACCTCTTTAAGCTGTCGTAAATTCTCGTTGTCCAATATAAACCCGTTTCTAAGTTGCATATTTGTCTTTATGTAATATAGATTTTTATCAATAAAACAACTTCAAATATGTACTTTTATATATGATACTTCTTAACACAAAAGGAAAAACCTATAACTCTAGAAACATTTAGAAAAATAAATATAAATATTTATGGAAAGCCCAAAAAAGAAATATATAGTGAAAACCTACCTGAGACCGCTTAAATGAGGGTGAGACCCCCCTGGTCTTTCAATGTCCATAAAATTCAACTTAATCATAGACTCTGTATATGTAAAGGTTGTATTAGAAGGATTTCTCAGAATAATGTCATCTTCGATATCTACGGAGGGCTTAGAATGTCACTTTTCAGCTAAAAGTTGACAAAATTTTAG